TAACTAAAAAATTAATGCAGTATTTATCTCTTAGTGATTGGCTCCCCTGTTCCATACTCCACTACTGTTTTGGGGAGCTGGTCATCAGTCTCCTTAGAAGGAACTGTATTTTAGATCTATTTCTAGAGGAGCATTCACATTAATAGCATATATGGCTCCATTGCCTAACTCTGAGACCTGGACTGCATATTCCAAGCTTCTTATTTCACTGCTCCCCCCCCCCAACTGTATACTGCTTCCCCCCATTGTATACTCACTGCTCCCCCACAGTATAATGCTCACTGCTTCCACCCACTGTATACCGCTCCTCCTCCACTGTATACTGCTCACTGCTCCACCCCATGGTATAATGCTCACTGCTCCCCCCACAATACACTGCTAATTTCTACCCCCACAGTATACTGCTCTCTATTCCCCCCACTGTATATTACTCACTTCCACCCCCACTGCAAACTGCTCACTGCTCCCCCCACTGTATACTGTTCACTGTTCCCCCAACCCTGTATACCTCTCACTGCCCCCACTGTATAGTGTTCACTGATCCACCCCCACTGTATACTACTCACTGTCCCCCCACCACTGTACACTTCGCCCTCCTCCCCGCACCCTGTATACTGATCACTATTCCCCCCACTGTATGCTGCTCCCCCACAGTATACTGCTCACTTCTCCCCCTCACAATATACTGCTCACTTCTCCCCCCCCCCCACAGTATACTGCTCACTGCTCCCCCCATTGTATACTGCTACCCCCATCTCATATATTGCTCACTGCCCCCCCCCCCACTATATACTGCTCACCGCTTCCCCTACTGTATACTGCTCACTGAACCCCCCCTACCCCATATACTGCTCACTGCCTCTCATTGTATACTGCTCTCCCCATCTCATATACTGCTCACTGTCCCCTCCCCCCACTATATACTGCTCACTGCTTCCCTTGCTGTATACTGCTCACTGATCCCCCCCCCTACCCCATATACTGCTCACTGTATACTGTTCCCCCCTCACTGTATACTGCTCATTGCTCCTCACACAGTATATTACTCACTGCCCCCCCCCCCCCACTGTATACTGCTCACTGATCCCCACTACCCCATATACTGCTCACTGCCTCCCATTTTATAGTGTTCCGCCCCACTGTATCCTGCTCCCCACACAGTATATTGCTCACTGCTCCCCCCTACTGTATACTGCTCACTGCTCCCCATGCAGTATATTGCTCACTGCTGCCCCTCATTGTATACTGCTCCCCCCACTCTGTATAGTGCTCACTGCCCCCACACTTCATACTGATCCCCCCACACTGGATACTGCTCACTGCTCCCCCATTATATACTGCTCACTGATCCCCCCACTGTATACTGCTCACTGCTCCCCCACTGTATACTGCTCCCCCACACTGGATACTGGTCACTGCTCCCCACACAGTATATTGCTCACTGTTCCCCCCTACTGTATACTGCTCCCCACGCAATATACTGCTCACTGCTCCCCACACAGTATACTGTTCACTGCTCCCCCACTGTATACTGCTCACTGATCCCTCCCACTGTATACTGCTCACTGCTCCCCCACTGTATACTGCTCCCCCACACTGGATACTGCTCACTGCTCTCCTACAGTTTACTGCTCACTGCTCCTCCCCCCACTGTATACTGCTCACTGCTCCCCCCACCCCATATACTGCTCACCCCATTGTATACTAACTGCTCCCCCCACTGTATGCTGCTCACTGCTCCCCCCCCCCCCACTATATACTGCTCACTGCTCCCCTCACACACTGTATACTTCCCACTCCCCCCTCCTTATACTGCTCCCCTCTACTGTATACTGCTCACTGCTCCCTCCACACCCTGTATACTGCTCATGGCATACTGCTCACTGCTCCCCCACATACTGTATACTGCTCACTGCTCCCCCTCCTGTCCACCTTCTTGCTGCCCCAGGCCCCTTTCCTCCATCCTGGTCCCCCTGTGCTCCTTCCTAGCCCTGTGTTTTCAACTCCCTCGCAACACTGATGGGTTCCCCCTTCCCTTCTCCCACCGGCTGTTGCGGGTACTCTGTCAGAATTGAGGGCTGGAATGGGGCCTGTGAATATGTCATTTAAAGTCCCCTTCCTTATCTGAATGGATAATCAGTGATTGGTACCGATCACTGACTTTGTCCATTCATAACTGAGGCATGGTAAACTGTGTTTACTATACTTCAGTTTGTGAAGGAACAGGGAGCTCTGTACAGAGGTATTCCTGTCCATTAATTCTGTGCTGCTGAGGCTGCAGAGATGGAGACTGAAGACCATGTCCTTCATCTCCTTTTTCTGTCTCAAAGGTGAGATGTCAGAGGTTATTTGGAAATTCTTTTTATTACGTTTTTGCAAAAAAGGTTTCAAAACAGAGCCTCTGGCATACCCTGGTTCACAATAATACAGTTCTGAACAGAAAAAAAAGAAAACCCATATAAAACAAAACAGAGCACTCAACATCCTCAATAACAAGGTCATACTACCTAAGTAGTGTTCAAGGGTGATCAGAGACCAAGACAGTTGTAGGAGATCATAAGGACCCCTCAAACAATTACAGCCTATTAATTTCTGAAAGATCTCAAGAGGTTATCAAAATACAGAACATCAATTCCAACATAAAAGTGTATATGGTTAATAAAAGGAAACATTCTTCTACCCCCACCCCACCCCACCTTTCTCTATGTTCTTAGGGTGTCCTACTTTCTCTTTATGTAGAGTCAACATCAACCATAGAGGATAACTCGAGCCAGAAATCCCATATTTTATATTTTGGCATCCCCAGAATGTGTAGGTTAGTTTATAAAGTGATACAACTGAATCAATGAGTGCCTTCCAGAGATTCAATGAGGGGGACTGGTCAGCCCTCCACTTCAAAACTATGGCTTTCCTGGCTTAAAAAAGCAGTAGACCAAGCAACATCCTATTCTAGTTGACTAAACCCAAAAAGCACACATCCACTGTTTGGGGAATTTTAATAGTGGTCAGGGAATGGATAAAACCTAGAACCTCTGACCAGAAGGTATAGAGAAGCTGACAATGCCAAAATATGTGAAACAAATTGCTGTGGTGTCTCCACAGCACCAGCAAATAGTGGGTACAGCAGGATATATTCTGAGCAACTTAGATGGGGTTAAGTAGACCATACTGTATGTAATATTTTAAACTGTACTAACTTGTCTCTTGTTGCCACTAGTTGGGAAAGGGGATAGTCCCAAATATCCTCCCAGTCTTCTCCATCTAGTTCTGCAATTGCCACCCTCCATTTCAAATGCAAGGGGTTGAGACCTAAATTAATGGAAGGCAACGATGCCTTTTAGATTACCAATAGTGTTTTTTTTTAGGGAGGAGTCACATAGGAGAGTTTCCAGATCATCAGCTAGTAAATTAATCAGTTAAGCTCTGAATTGGGAATGGAAGGCATAGCGGAGTTGCAGAAACCTGAAAAAGTGGGAGTTTGGAAGGTCATATTTAATACCTTTCAAAGTCCAAATGGAGGGATCAGGAAGAAACTCAAATTCTGATAAGTTAGCATTATACACTAACAGTGTATAGGGAGAACAAAAGGCAGAAGTTGAGGAGCGTCTAGGCATGGTTAAATGCCAAGTCCTAACAAACACTTGGATAGACGAGGTAAGAGGCAGGAATGCAATGGATCCATGGCCAGCACAAACAGGGAAGGGAATAGCGGGCACCCCTGCCTCGTGCCATGTTGAATGGGGAAGGGAGAAGAGAGTGCTCCCTCCAATCTAATTAGGGACGTAGGCATCTTATATAGCAACTGAAACCATTTTCTAAATACAGGGCCAAACCCAAAAGCTTCCAAGACCATATCCAAATATTGCCAGTGGACAGAATCGAAAGCTTTTTCAATGTCCAATGCTTCCAGTACTCTGTTTGCAGGAGCCTCTGCCAGAAGTTTAGAGGGGAGTAAGTACTCTACGCAGATTTATATCTGTAGATTTGCAATTGTCAATCAGGGAGGGAAGAACCTTCATCACTCTGGATGCCAGGACCTTGGTGATAATTTTTAGATCATTGCTAAGGAGGGAAATGGATCTATAAGAGGTACAATGTCCGGTGTCTTTGCCCGTTTTGGAAGGACCACATGGGCTTGATGCATAGAGGACAGTAATTCTTCCTGCTCTAGGTCAGGAATTTGTTTAGAGTCCTGATAGAGCACCAAATCCCCCCAATGGGCTCCTAAAAAATAGTAAGAAAATAATACAAAAATAATATTGTAAATAAAATAAATAAAAAGGTAAATAAAACCCAAAAACTACTGGACACCAGTGGCAGAACTACCAGGATAGCAAAGGTTGTACTTGTGACCAGGCCCTGGTGTTCCGTCACTGGGCCCCAAGCGTAGGGCCCCCAGGCTCAAAGCTAAAGTTCCTGGGCCTATTTTATGTCCCAGTCTGGGCCTGACTCAGAGTACCAATCTGTTTTGCCAGATATTGCATCTTTTAGAGCTTGTTCTACATACTGAAAATACATTCCCTATATCCTCTGTACTTGAATATAATATGAGGCTTGAGAACTTTCAAAGCAATTTTGGCTTTTTCCTGATAAAGTGAAAAAGCATTTTCTCTTAGACAGGGAATTCCTAGACAAGTGGTTCCTGTAGCAATTGTATGTACAGAGATGGACGTGGTCATCCATCTTGCTAAACATCCCCAATCTTGTACCATTCTATCTCCCTCCAATCCCCCTCCCTCAGGAATGTGGTCTGTGTGTATGAGGAGATCACAAGCATCAGGCACAGCGGGATAGCTTCATGGTTATAAACCCCAATTAGCCTGGGCCCAGTATGTCTGTGAGCTAATCGTAAAGCCATAAACCCCCTCAGTCACTGGACTTCAAAAGACATTCCAAGATAGCCGTAAAACAGACATCACATTTAAAACCCACTTTTCTATATAATTTCATATTTTAAGCTAGGAAATAATACAATCAAGCCAAGCATATATTCAGATAGCTCAGTGTAGCCTCCCTGACGGTATTCCCGAGTGTAGCTCGGGGTAAAGTTTCAGTACCAAAAGCAGTAACCCCAATCTACACTCGGGCTTACCATGCAGCGCTGCTCCGGCATCTGTTCTTCAATTACCTTGTCCTGCGCTCCCACGATGTCCCTCCTGCAGTGTCCCCGGCAATGTAATCCGGCGGATGCCGGCATCTGTCATCTGGGTTCCGTTCCCTGCGCGGGAAATTTGAAAATGACAAAAAGTGACATTCACTAAATACACTAAAAATAACATAGTAAAACATTACTGTATCAAAGCATTTCACATACATTTTGTCCCGAGTGCTTTGTCCTGTGCCCTGCCTGAATTTTTACTGTTCTTTCTGCCTGGAAACTGAGAAACGTCCATGAAGTCCAAAAAGCGCCCCTTTAAGTCAAAATCGGTTTTAGACCAGCTAGAGAACAGCGATAGTAAATTAGAACTACTTGCAGAATTGAGTGATAATGATTCGTGGGGAAATTCGTCATCAGACACTGAAAACGATTTTGCGACTTTGCTCAGCGATGTGCGAACTTGGCGCTCTATTTCAAATTTAAGTGTTTTTGGTTTGATTATATTATTGAATTAAATTTATTATTATTTATAATATTATTTTTTATGATTATTTATTAAATTATAATTTATGATTTCGTGTTTCAAATTTTATCATACCCGGGATGTTTACTAGACTCTTGTTCAGACAGATTTCAGTGAGTTATTCCTAAAAATTACAGGCCTACAATAAAAAAAATACATATTTCCATGCAAAAAAATTTACCGCTTTGAGCACAGAAATATGGACATAATCAGACCGCTAGGGAGGTTAATGTGAGTCGCCTGATATCTTACACCCCTAGTTGAAGTCTACAGGAGAGCAGAAAGCCATATAGTTCTAGCTGAAATAGTAAGATATGGCATGTTTGATATCTAGATGTTTAGATGATTCTGCATGTACCTAGGGAAGGTTATTGACCATGGTATACCTTGTGAGGGATTTGGTCATAGCCGGAGTTCCCCGCCTAAAAACACACCCCTCCCCAAATGAGGCGATTGGTTCTCTGCTTCAAGGAGACACCCTGCTGAGTTCCTAGAAAAAGGCTGTTATGCTTGGAGCAGTAAGTTGAAGAATTCTCCCCTTTTAACATCAGGAACAAACTTGGGAGACGGTACCCTTTTGCTCTGACACTTGATCTGCTTAAACCAAGGCTGACGGCAAGTATTCTACCTCTCTAAACTTCTTTCTGTTATCTCTCTGTTGTGGTATTGCTCTCTGTATTAATTTATATATATATTGGCTACATCTTTTTCTGTAAATACTTTTATTGCACAATTTTGACCTTTTTAGTAATAAATCTTATTTTCTGAAAAGTATTGAACTGTTTCTAAAGCTCTTTAATGCAAACTAAGAATCCCGGTCTCTGAAGAGCGTTACTGTGTGTTTTTAAACCTCTATATACTTCGGCCTGCGGTGACAGTGGTATACAGACGATTATTCAAACATCATAGTGTTATTGCTAATATTGGCGAGTTTCCTCTACAAAAAGGCGGTGGTGGCAGTGTGAAGGGTTAATTGCGTAATTAACCTGACCCAGTAACAATCCCTCTCAGGCTGCAGGTACATAGATTGTGGTCCATTAGCTGGAAAATCTTTGTGCAGGGTGCAGCTGAGCGTTGCATTGTTACGCACGTGACAGTACAGTTTTAGATTGGCTAGTCCTTCGGTCACAAGTTGGTGAGAAGGGCTGGGGGTCTGACACCGCGACCGTCACGGTCCTTACCTCGCATGGACCTTTCAGTTATTCACCTTAAAATAGAAATTAAAACAAAACTTTTTTTTTTATTTTGGACAGAGCAATAGAGGATTATAATCCCAGTCAGATTTTTTTGCCATCTGTTTCCCATTGGGGAGATTTCTCTCCTCTCGAGCTGTCACGCTGACAGCTCATGAGGAGAGGGGAGGCGGTAATCGGCATTCCGCGGAGGGGACATGTACACTGTGATCATCAGGGCACTGATGATCAGTGTAACCCCAGCAGTGCCACCTGTCAGTGTCCATTAGTGCCAGCTGTCAGTGCTGAACAGTGCCAGTGCACATCAATGCCACATATCAGTGCCTACCAGTGCACATCAATGCCACATATGAGTGCCCATCTGAGCTGCCTTTCAGTGTCACCCATTAGTGCCAGTCAGTGCCACCTATCAATGCCAATCAGTGCCACCTATCAGTGCTGCCCAGCAGTGCCACCTATCAGTGCCAGTCAGTGCCACCTATCAGTGTGCATCAGTGCTGCCTATCAGTGCCACCTAACAGTGCCAGTCAGTGCCGCCTATCAGTGCCGCCTATCGGTGCTGCCTTTCAGTGCCCATCAGTGCCACCTACCAGTGCCTCCTCATCAGTGCCCATCAGTGCCACCTATCAGTGCAGCCTATCAGTGCCCATCACTGCAGCCTCATTAGCGCACATAAATGAAGGAGAAAAATCACTTATTACAAAGTTGTATAACAAAAACTAAGAAAAAACTTTTTTTTTTTTTCAAAATTTTCAGTGGTTTTTGGTTTGTTTAAGAAAAAATAAAAAACCCAGATGTGATTAAATACAACAAAAATAAAGCTCTATCTGTCTCAAAAAAATGATAAAAATGTCATATGGGTACAGTGTTGCATGACCGCGCAATTGCCATTCAAAGTGTGACAGCGCTGAAAGCTGGAAATTGGCCTGGGCAGGAAGGGGGTATAAGTGCCCTGTAGGCTTGTGGTTAAAGAAACCATCCACCAATCAGAGTGAAGTAAAATGAGCCTGACCCCGCCCCATGATGTCATGTTCCCTCCAAAAATACATTCAAATCAATGTAAACAGAAACATTATAAACTGTGAAAATAGATAAACCATAAAACAATAATCAGATGTGCATAAACTGCATTCCCGGGGATAGAAACATTGTGGTCACATGTGTATCATAGTACTCCCCGGATAAAATTGCAATAAAGTGTCAGCTAAAAGCAGCTCTGTATTATGGAAACAACGACTAGCAGCATTTATGTCCCTGACAGAAGATAAAAGCTGTTTCCTAGAGATGTGGGTGTGTGTCTTCCATTGTCAAGTGAGCTGCAATAAGGACACACCTACAGTGGTCCTATTGGTGCAGAGACCGACAGTGTCATGGCGACGCATGTCACCTGCACATACACCATCCGAGTTTACTACACATGCATTCGCTCAAAGTCATTCCTGCGCCGCCCACTGTTATCATGGAAAGCCATGACGCTGTGCCGGGCAGGATGAAGCGGAGGCAGGTCGCCGATGTCATGAAAACACATGATATGTAATAAATCCTCCTGCGCTGCTATGCCTACTAGGACTAGTGAAACAGCAGCTACCATCCAATCCTCACCTTTACATGGAAAATTAGATAAAGCTAGTATGATAGTGATGTAGTGCCATAGTTGATATTATGACCCTTTTGTTAGGTACAACACTGCTTCCACAATATTGATATCAATATAAAGTCAACCAAACTGATACTTGTGACATTTATAGGTGATTAGTGCAGTATAAATCAAACATATATATATCCAAGTGACCATTCCAACATTGCCGTGACACACAGTGATTCCCTATACAGGGATATGGGTCACCTTAAATAGGTGATTTATATGAGTAGCAGTGATATAAATGTCCACAATATCAGGTGTCTAGCTTGTGTAACAACAGCACACAAAAACAATGATAAACAGCATGCTCCTGTGCCGGTGCAGGTAGTGAGTAACACGCCTATATGGCAGGCATGCCCACTCACCTGAGGAAGCTACGAGGGGCGTGGCGTAATGCGTAGATGCGACGTGGTGACGTGTGACGTACTTCCGGTCCAGCGCCAGCTTAGTACACCAGAGAGTTCTCAGTAAACCCATGTGAGGTGACACAAGCAAATTGTACTTCTGCTGAAATGTGAGTTTGTACTTGGCAGTTTTCTTCTTATTAAACTTTACATACAAGAATTAACTACACAACCTTCAATGCACTTTCCTCCACCTTCCTTTGTGTAAAAAAAAAAACTTGTGGAAACAAAAAACTTCCATGGACTCAATATGCCTCTCAGCAAATAGCTTAGGGTGTCTGCTTTCCGAAAAGGGGTCATTTGGGGGTGTTTGTACTTTCTGGGCAGTCAGAGAGTAAAAGCTGTGTAAATTCCATTATTTATACCATTGTTTGTAGATGCTATAACTTTCACACAAAGCAATCAATACACACGCATTGGGATGTTTTAACCAAAAACATGTAGCAGAATACATTTTGGCCTAAATTTATGACAAACATTTGAGTTTTTGGGATATTTGTTATAACAGAAATGAGAAAATATCATTTTTTTCCAAATTTTTTTTTTCTTTTTTTTATAATGCCAAAAATAAAAAGCACACAGATGATCACATGCCAACAAAAGAAAGCTCTATTTGTGTGAAAAAAGGAAATACAATTAATTTTATGTACCGTATTGCATGACCGCACAATTGTCAGTTAAACTAGTGCAGCGCTGTATAGCAAAAAATGGCGTAAATTCCATTATCTATACCATAGTTTGTAGACGCTATAACTTTCACACAAAGCAATCAATATACACTTATTGGGATTTTTTACCAAAAACATGTAGCAGAATACATTTTGGCCTAAATTTGTGATTAACTTTGAGTTTACTATATACTTTTTATAGCAGAAAGTAAAAATATAGTTTTTTCTTCAAATTTTGGGGTTTCTTTTGTTTATAGCACGAAAAATAAAAAGTGCACAGGTGATCAAATACCACCAAAAGAAAGCTCTATTTGTGTGAAAAAAAGTAAGTAAATTTAGTTGGGTACAGCATTGCATGACCACGCAATTATCAGTTGAAATAGTGCAGAGCTGAATAGCAAAAAGAGGCCTGGTCATTAAGGGGGGTAAATCCTCAGGAGGGCAAGTGGTTAATTCTGTTGAATTTAACTGGAACTGCTGTCTGTCCTCTTATGGCAGTTACTTTCCTCTGTAAGACCATGACATAGTGAAACATATCCTCAGAAAAGAAATCATCTAACACATAGCCAGGGGCGGACTGACAACTCATGGGGCCCCCGGGCAATAGGGGAGCATGGGGCCCCCGGGCAATAGGGGGTCATGGGGCCCCTGTGTCCTTGCCCACACTCAAAGCACACCCAAATATGCCTATAATAAAGGTACCAGGGGCATCTCATGGAGCCCCCTACTGACCCTGGGCCCTCGGGCAGTGCCCGAGTGCTTGAATGGTCAGCCCGCCCCTGCACATAGCAAGCTCCTTGAGTTTGGAACTTCTTCAGTTGATGTCTCACATGACAATATTGTCTATCCATATTTGTAGGGCTTTTTGGCTTTGTGCCTGATATGTAGAATATGAAATTAAGAAGCCTTTATTCATTTGCTCTTTAACCACTTGTTTACCAGGGCAATTGTTCATATTTTGCACGTTAAAATCTGCATTTTTGCTAGAAATCGCTGTAAACACCACCAAAAGTATACATTTTCTGAAAGCAAAGACCCTGTCGAATAAAATGGTGGTAGTTGCACTGTTTTATATAGCCTGATATTTGAGCAGCTTTTGATTAAGAGCATATTTTTAGGAAAAAGAAAACACTTAAATGGATTTTAGCGCAAACACAATATTATACCCAAGTTTTTTGGTAAAATATAAAAGGTGGAGTTGCATTGAGAAAATAGATACCAAACATGTCAAGTCTTAAAACTGTGCTGTGGAATCTTAAAAAATGATGGCACCCAAAATTCTCCATAGGCGACTCTTCAAAAGCCCTTACAGATCAGCATTTAGAGTTAACCATGAATTATGGCCCTAGAATTATTGCCCTATGTCACTCACACGTGTGCCGCAACTGATGATGCATACAAGTGCTTGCCCTATGCTGAACTTTTTTTTTATATGGGGTGTGTCAGAGGGTGACAGGGGTGCTTTAAATATTTTTTGAAATAATTTTAATTATTTTATAAAATTGTTGGTTTTTTTTAACACATTTATTTACTTTATTTCCATCACAAGAGGGTTAAGAAACATTTCCTGTGTGCATTTATTAATTAATTTAAAAGTTGATGGGGCATATTCTTCATAAACAACAAATGATTTCTCATTCTGCTTTCATGTGCGAGCCCACGTTGTACACCTTTGGTGCTGTCTGCCCTCTGCTGCATTATTCGTTTCCCTACCAAAGCCATAAATACAAATCCTTCTGTCCTAGGCATTCGGTACATGTAACATCTTTTTTTATACAGGGAATATAGAATCATTTTGATCAGTTTCTGCTCCAAAGATGTTTACAGTCTAATGTCTTCACTGCAGTTATAAGTATGCACAGTAGGTCCAAGTAACATAATAGTGTATTTAATTTCTTGGAGGAAACTGGGGAGCCTACAACATGTAAAGAACAACTCATCTAAATCCTCAGCTATGTACAATGTAGCTTCATACAGTATATGCAATCCTTTCTGGACTGTCTAAAGTGGAAAAAGCTATTTTGTAGATGTCCATCAAGAGTATAGGTGTGTACACTGGATTTTTTTCAAATATTTAAACTTACAAACAGTATAAAGGTCCATAGATAAGAGGTCATATGTCAATGTTGAAATCCTTTGATTCAGCCAATATTTGCCATCGTACTTATTTGCTCCGAGACGGGGAGGGTAATATTGGCTCTTTCTATGTCTGCCATTACTATAAGAATCGATAGATTTCCTAGGCTCATTGAGGGTGACGTGTCTCAACATGCAGCTTCTCCTGGTGTCCATCTGCCTGGTCATCTGCAGCTCAGCATTTGTATCAGCCACAGATCCGTAAGACAATTACTATGGCAATTGATCTTTTCAACTTTCTAGCAAAACTTTAGGGGTATATTTGACCATTTGGAAACTTGGGCACTGCCCGAGGGCCCGAGGTCAGTAGGTATATGTGTTATGAGATGCCCCTTGGTACCTTATTCATAGGTTTTTGAGTTTGGGCAAGGACACAGGGGCCCCAATCTGTAGGTGTAAAGCAGTAAATGTGCACCAATCTGTAGGTGAATCTTCAGGTGCATGTGTTTTCAGTCTGTGATTACCCTGTAGTAAATGTAAATAGAGCATTCACTTCTTTATAAATATGCCCTATAGTTTTTTGTAACTGTTTATATGTGTTTGGAAGTGAGCGTGTGTGTGTATATGTATATAAGTCCAATCTGCAGCACCTTGCAAATGTATTAAGAGTTAAAAAACTCATAAATATCAAAATAACAAAGACTTTGACTGGTTAAGATCCTTCATCAGGCATAACAATTTTGAAAACCACATAGCATTTATTATATAGCACATGGATGTCAAACTGGCA